CACACACACACACACACACACACACTTTCTAAAAAAAATTTCGCTAGGAAAAGGAAGGTTGGATGATCACATTAATTACAGACTTAAAAATAAATAAAAATAATTTTTTTTATTGAAAATTATTTTATTAATTTATTGAAAATTATTATATTAATTATAATCATATAATTTGTTCAACAATATAAATGTCATTTTAGAAACATGTCTGATGACTTATTAGCGAAGGAAAAGGAATTTCACAGATTGAATCGTGATCTTCAATTAAAAACACGTGACGTAATGAAGACTGTTGATTCAATCATACATGCCCATGCCGGTAAAAATTTATTTAGCGATGCGAATCAATTGCTTTCAAATTTTGTGACGGAAGATGTGAAAGCTATACACTCAGAAGATGTAGCGCCAAAGATAAATAAACAGCTAAAAACATCGTTAATTAAAGTTTCTGAAGTTCCATCAGTAGAATGTACTAATGACACTGATATTCTAAAAAAGGATAGTAACGTGGGAAATAAAGCTGTTGTTTCTTTGCTCAAAGGGAAAATAGATATGCTGTATGAAAAGTTACAAGAAATGCAACTTGAGTATAATAACAAGGTAATGTCTCTTTTACTGCTTTAACGAACCGCTATTTTATGTTTTATTGCATGATATTTGTACCAATTATAAATAAAAGAGCACTTGAAAAAATCAAATAAGACATAACTGCTTCTCGAGAAAAAATTCTTAGATTTGTAAGAAAATTTATAAAATAATTTTGTCTGCACATAGTGCGAGTATTACAAAGAGTTAGAAGTGGAAAAGAAGAAACTTGACGACGTGCAAATTAAATTACGCAACCAAATAGAAACGTTAAACGATACAATTACAAAATTGGACCGTGTAAATTCAGATACATTGTCAGACTACCAAGTTTTGAGTAATGAAAATACTGTCTTGAAGAAGGTATTTTTACATTCTTTTTGTTATTATTTTTATTACAATACAGTTTATTAAAGATACTCAGCTCTTTTAGGATTTAGAAGGTTTTAGAAAAGAGATACGAACATTAAATCAACAGTCAACCAATCTTGATATAAGATTAAATAGATCTCTAGAAAGCAACGAGAAACTTCGAAATGCATTAAAATGTAGCCAAATAGAAGAGAAGGTATAATAAAAAAGTATATCTAAATCTGTAGAAATGAAAATCCGTGACACATTTCTTATCCGCTTTGTAGGAATTAAGAAATCAAATTAGAAAACTGCAAGAAGATAAGAAGTTAGCCATAAAAAATTTGGAAAAACAGCGATCGGAGTTAGTGCAAGCATTTAAGAAACAAACACTACTCGTAGATAATTTGAAGAAACAAAACGTACGTTATTGTATTTCATCATTAATTTCTTCTATTTGTGCAGCGTTACATAATATGAATCTTTACAACTTCATAATTTTGTAGATACACTTGATGGCAAATGGACAAATCAGCTTAACGAAAGAAGACTTTGCGAAGTTATTAGAGTGGAAACCTCAGAATGTCTCTGATGTATCGTAATAGTGTTTACAGTAAT